TTTCGTGGCTGTCAGCCATCTCATCTAATTTCATCCTTACACAAGCTCTACACAAATTTTAAAAGTTGCTTAACTATCAGAGGAGTAATTGGTTTATAAATATTAGGCCAAGAAGTACACTAAAAGTAAAGGTGATAATTATATGAGCGATGGGGGGGAGAGAAGCAGTATGAATAAAGCATGGTCAAGGATGGAAGTATAGACTATTCTAGTACCCTGTAATTTTTTGATCTAACCCATACCCTGCCTGTCTTGTCTGTTTTACATAAAGCTAAAAATCCTTTGCATTTTCTTAAGCAAAGGTAAAGAATTCCATGCTAAGAGAGCTAGCTTTTTTGTTTTACTCTGACATCTTGCAATATCAGTTTGAACTGGTAAGAACAAGCCTTACACGTTTCCGGACTGAGATGATTCAATTCACTGACAAAGATCAAGAGATAGCCCAACTAGCTCTGGGTACCCTTCTCTCAGGACCAGAGGCTTTCTGAAGTTCTCCAGGAGACACCATCTTGTGAACAGCTTTCGTAACCATGAGATATGCATAAACAGCGCAGTGTGTCTATTCTCCTCGTGTATCAGCTTTCAGAGTACTTGCCCTCCCTTCCTTCTCCCACAGTCCCCAAGCTACACCAATTGCTGTACAGTAAAAAAAATACTTCTGAAGTGCTTAACCTGTCATTTCCCCAGTGCAGAAGAAACTACCATAAGTGGGAGGCTCCATGCAAAAGTTACATGCAAAAGTAGCAGTTTAAGCAAGTATCTCCTTTTTATAGTTCTATATGTGTCTGTCTAGAGCTACTTGCTACTAGATAAATTTTGGAACAGATGTACACCACACAAAAGTACACTTCAGTACCAGCCCAACAAGGAGACTCACTGAAGCAAGCACATACTTATCCTGGTCATATGCTTCAACTTCCTCATCTTAGAAATCAAAATGTAAAGAAAACATGCACACTGGTTTCATCCTGACCTATAGTTAGGATGTAGGCAGAACAAGTATGTTTCAGATTTCACAATATAGATGGAGCTATGGACATCCAAGGGTATCAACCTTTTGTTCTGGCAACTTACCATGTCACAATATTGAAATCAAAGGTGACAAAAGAATATTCAAAGGAACAGTTTTGTCCTGGCTTTTACAACCTGGTTTCATTCAGATGGTGCAAGTCTGAGGGAGCTTAGTCATTTTGTTTAGGAAAACTGAAGCTAAGGAAAAATATAACATTTTTCTACACTTTTAAAGAATTTATAAGAGTTGATCAGTAACCATGACTGTAGTCATTTAAAGGATAAGGAGGAGAGGGGGGGAAAAAAAAGCCAAAACAAAGCATATGAAGTTTTGTCTCCAATAGCCTTCTCTTAAGTCTCATTTATGTAACTCTAAAAAGAAAGTGTCTTGAAACTGCACATGGGTACACTGGATAGAAACGTTTGGCTAGGAAACATTTCAGCTTTTGATTATAGTTTCAGAATGAACTACCTGGCTTCTCTAACCACCAAGATTAATCATCATCTACCAGATCTGCTGTACAAAGTGCTCTTTACCTTGCCCATTTTCAATACATAGATAAGGACAGCACAGCTCTTCCCCTCCTTCAGAAGTGTGGTACACATTTAAAGATTTATTTCATGCCATAAAGAACTGCCTAACATTTCTATTCCTGATCATTGTCACATTAGTCATTTCTGTCGTGTCTGATCTGTAAGTCAAAGGTGTAAGTCATCCTCACGGAAACAATCATTATTGCTCACAGGAAACAAACAGAAGACATGCCTTCTAAACTGTTTGGCAGTAGTAACCAAGTGATAGCTTCATCTTGCTAGTCTCATAGTAGCAAGTTCTCTTTTATCAGTATTTCAGAAAACAACATCTATGACCTTCCATGCTGTAGTTCTTACTCTCCTCTCATCATTTTTTTCAGGAAGTAGTTTTCCATTAATTAAACTTAATGGTTCCCACATATTGTGGGTGCCATTGCAGGTTGCAAAATTTGAATGCCACTAAGTCAAGCCACATTTGGGAACAGGCTCTGGTTAGCGGCCAAGACCACAAGTTAAGGGATCCCAGTTTGCACAGCTGCTAGGATTTTCCAAACAAACTTCACTTCCTTTCCCAAGTGCCATGTGATTATTGACAATGAAAGTCAAACTCCTCCTGATACATACCACTATGAAACTAAGCATTATGCAACAGACATTCATAGCATATTTAATTAATTACTCCTCTTACGTAAACTGAGTACAATCACTTTGAAGTTTTACACAAACTTTTTGGACTCTATAGGTGAATTTAAAGTTGGAGCAAAGAGGTGAGGAATATGCGTGCTAGGTTGAAACTGTGCTAGACTAGTCTTGCAGCCACCACCTTTATTCATCAGTGAAAGCTAAACCCTCATGCAAAGTTTAAGGAGGCTGTTCGTGTTGTTCTTGTTCACGTAATTTAATAAGTAGTATAAGTAGTATTCAATTCATGTAATTCAATAAGTAGTATTGACCTTACCTACAATATCATCAGCTGATCTGAATGTCACACTTGCCAATTAGCCAATGCTACAATTTATATGATATACTGACTTTGGTGACAGAGTGGGCTTAAGAAGTTCCTGCCCATCCCATCCCAAGCCAATTATTTCTGCACCCACAATCCATTTTGTCATCCCTTCAGCTGTGTAAGTCCAGATATTTACAGTACAGCCGCAATCCAAATCACTGGAGTCAGTCAGCTTAAAAATACCTACACAAGCCAAAAGGGGAGGGAGAGTATTTTTAACCAAAAATAATCACTCAGTGGTCTTGTTTACAGTACAGCTCCACAACCAATTACTTAAATGTTAACTGAGAAGTCAGCAACTTGTGGCACCAGAAGGAACTACATATTTCCTTCAGGAAAGGAAATTGCAGTAAGCCAGCAGTGCTGCCAAAGACAGAGTATCTTACAACTTGCCACCTTCATCTTCTAAGCAGTGATTGTAGTATTACAGTTAGATTGGTTTATAGGTAGGTCTGGCTTTTATAGGTTCATAAAGCATCCTACAATCACATTTTGCAAGATCATATACAAAACTCCAGGTGATCCCGGAATCTATGTTTACCAGGTTTGACTGGGATAGAGTTGCTATGAAACACTAACTCCATCCCAGCCAGATCCCGTATACTATGCTACAACAAGGACCCTTTCCCACATTCTCTCCAGCTTCCCTGTGCACTGGTTCCAGCATATGCAGCTATATGGTGAACAGGAACAAAATCCACCTGAACACTGATCAGATTCCTTTTTTGTTGTTTTGCTTGGGAAGTTTTCAAAGCTGTAGGTTAGTTTCCAAAGATGAGCCTTGAGCACCAGCATCAACAGAGAAAAGCAACAGACTTTCAGTGGCAGGATGGTCTTAGACCAACTACATCGGTTGCAAAATTGCACCCTGGTGCAATCATGGACAGCTCTTTGCATACATTTCCATAATATTAATGTAATCTGTAGGCAACATTGAAAGAGAAGAGTAATAAGCAATTTAATGCAATCAGAATTCTTCATTAGTTCAGTAAATAAAGAGCAAACCAATACCAACACACAATACAATACCAGAGTGGGGAAGGCTAGAGAACAAAGACAGCAGGCCGAGCCATATTTTAAAAGGAAATCATCCCACTAGAATTTACCTTTCAGTTGAGAATACTCTCTCTGGCAGACTTAGTCCATCAAAGTGAAAAATGCTTTACAGATAAAGTTTAAGCCTCATCTTTATTTAATTGATTAAGCTGTAAGAAACCAGCTCACTTCTGTAGTTTTCACATTGTAGACAGAAGACAAACACTTTAAAGGTCTTGGAATATCCTGCACTACTACTTTAGAGAATAAAATGTGCATTTGTTCAGTCACAGTGACTTGGTTCCAGCTCTTTCTTTTTATGTTTGAGCATGCTAATAGACGTGGGTGTTCGACAAGAGGTGCAAAGTTAAGAATAGTAAAGGGTTTACAGATGAAAGTAGTGTTGAAAGACGTTGGGCATCCAAAACAATCAGCCCATGCTCCCAAAAATAGAAATGATCTTTTTGTCATGAAAGTCAGGATGAAGAAGACATAGTAGAACCATTCTTGCAATAATTATCAGAAGCAACATATAAAGAAAGGTACGAAATAACAATCTAAAAACATGGTTTAACATTTCTGAACATTTGTTGTCAAGACCTTGAAAACCAAATCTGACCCTTCTTGTATTAACTGCTACAAACCTTCAGCACTACAGTAAAGACAACTGGTATTTAGAGCACCTTGACTCAGTTCAACAATCAGATTTCTCCTGACCTTTCATAAGAGAACAAACTTGAATGTCCATGTAGACAGTAGGTATGAAAAAAACCTGTTCTAATAGCCTCAGTGATTCACCATATGAGGAGAACATACCTGCATCCTGCAACAGCAAGCCACCATTACAGATATATGTCAATGCAAGGACAGCCAAATTAGTGACAATACCCACCTAAGAGTGCCATTTTCTCCTTTGTCTAGGCTGGTGAAGCGACTGTACAAACGGGTGATTTGACTGTGGGAGACTGAAGAAAAAGAAGAAACACAAATTAGCATGTCAATGATTCCTCATAGGAACAGACCTCATTACACTGAGCTATGCTTTTGCCAGAAGCCATGTTAAAAAAAAAAAATAAAAAAAATCACACAAAACAAGTTACATTGGAAGCACATAGCACTCAGCAGTTCAGGGACTTCTTGAGCTATAAATGGCATCTTAATATTCAAGAATACACAAATAAGGCTATTCTTCAAAAATTTGTCTAACTCTGCCTTCTACTTGTTTATATTTTTGGTCTCTAACCTTCTTTGGTTATCCAATTCAGTAAATGGTAATTAAAAAAAATATATATTTGATTCACAGTTCCACTGTATTTCCTTTAATTCCTTTATGGCTAGAAATAATCTGGACACAGCCTCCACAGATGACCTTTACATCATTCATGACACTGCAGACTACTTCTGTAGTATCTTTCCTTCCCTTTTGCTTATCTCTACTCCTGTTATCCTTTTCCATCTAAAGACGGAAAGTGTACTCAGTTTCTTTTCATCTGGAAAGTGGTCAAAGAGACTTTACACCTGATCACTTTTCTTCCTTTATAGAATTGCCTGAATCTAAACAGTTTGTTCATTTTGGGGTTCACTAAAGTCATTTCCAGGCTTCTAGGACATGAGTTAAAAATTAAAAAGCCTTTTTCTAAACAAGTTTGAGAGGGAGTTGAGACACAAAACAAGCAGAAAGTTATTGCAGACTTGTTAAATCTGCAATTTTAAACAGAAATTCCAAAGCCAGTATTAAGTTTAGCATTATGGTGTCAACATTACCAAGATATTACACAACCCAAGTGTCATGGTTTAGCCCCAGCCAGCAGCTGAGCACCACGCAGCCACTCACTCACTCCTCCTCCCCCCCGCAGTGGGATGGGGAGGAGAATGGGAAGGAAAAGGCAAGACCTGGTGGGTTGGTATAAGGACAGTTTACTAGGATAGCAAAGGGAGAGGGAAAGACAAAACAAAACAAAACAGCATTTAACAGAGTATACGAAACTGGTGATACACAATGCAGTTCCTCACCCAAGGACCGTACAACTCAGACCGCACGCTCAGACCTGTCCTGAAACCGGACTGTCCCCGAGCCACGCATCCTGGAGCTGCTGCTGCTGCCCCTCCCCGGCTAGCCCCTCTTTTATGCTGAGCATGATGTCACATGGTATGGAATACCCCCTTTGCTAGTTTGGGTCACCTGTACTGTCTGTGTCCCCTCCCAACTCCTTGTGCACCCCCAGCCGTCCCACTGGCAAGGCAGTGCAAGAAGCAGAAAAGACCTTGGCTCTGTGTAAGCACTGCTCAACAACAGGTCCACATAACAAAAACATCTCTATATTATCAACGCTGTTTCCAGCACAAATCCAAAACATAGCCCCATACTAGCTACTGTGAAGAAAATGAACCCTCTCAGCTGAAACCAGGACACCAAGATACTAGACATCTACATCTTTAGAATAGTCCATGATGGAAGTGGGTTAAACCTATCTAGAATAGCAATTCCTTTAACATTTAGAGAATGCCCTACAGAACATCTTGGCTTTTCAGAGCCTCTTCGGATAGAAGTTAATATATGAAATAAGACTGAATTGAATTTTAACGTTTACTCAGTAAAGGTGTGATTTTCTACAATGCTAAACTAGTACTTAGTGTCATTTTCAGATTCAATTGTTTTAAAAGCCTTCACCATCATATGTACAATGCTTTTGTTACTTGTTAAAACTTATTTGGGAACAGGTTGCACAGCAGTTGTCTGATCTGTGACAACCGAGGCATTTTTTTTTCAATTTGTTCTTTCTCCAGGCTATTTGTTTAGGTTCAACTGTTCCCTCCTTCAGGATGACCTGCCAGCAGCTTTTTTTTTTCTTGTTCTTTCCTTGTCTCCTCGGCAACTTTCATTCTTTGTATAAGGTTGGGCAATTTGCTCAGTTCCACCTAAGGCAACTTCTCTACAACCAGATGGGCAGCTTGCTCAATTTCAAGTTAAGCAACACACACATAGAAAACAGGCACTAGTATTTGAAAGACTTCAAATTTCTGCATTTCTGATTTAGTGTTTTACATATGATATGCAATAACAAGAACTGATGATGAAAAAAGAATATCTCTGATAAGAAGCCCTGTACTTCCACTCCTCCCTGGAAAGAAAAGAGCGTGATGAAAATTCTACTCAGCTACCATATCCAAACTAATGTCAGCAAATCCATTTGTGGAACACCTCCGTAACAGCTAGTACGTGATAAATAGTATGTATCTATGGACAGGAGAAAAGATGTTTTTGTTAACATCATACTAGTCAAGAAGTGTGTCATAGCTACATGAGAAACGAAGGTGATTCAGGTCCACCACTGTATTCTTTCCTAATTTCCTTTCTGGCTTTCATCCCTCATGACAACTGCATCACTAGATACTTTTCAGAGCTTTCTCAAGCAAAATAAAGATTTTGATATTCCCTGCTGACCACAGGAGAACCAGAAACAAGATCTGCAATTTATGACAGATTCTTAAAATCAAAGGTTAAGCCTTAAAGTTAGCTGAAACATGATTTTAGCTACATTGCTATCCCACAAAGGTCCTTCTAAAAGTTGAAGTCAAGACCTCTAGAATAGGAGCTATACCCTCTATTTTACTTCTGTTGAATCACGAGAAAGTTTTTTGCAATTAGACACTCTGAAACTCTTGTCTAAAACATTAGCATAAACTCATCTAAATACATTATATTTATATACTTAGAAAATATATAAATATCCATCAGAAAATTCATCACCTGTTACCACTAAAATATTTCTTCTCCTAAGCTCTGATATGGGCACTAGTTTATTATTAATCCTTAGGTAGACTGCTTCAAAGAATGGGAACAAAGGGTGTGAACTGAATAGTTTGAACACTGTTACATTCCAATGGCTTTCCAAAAGCTTGCAACAGAATGCAGACAAGCAACATCTTGGACCTCTCATCTGTTTCTTATAGTTGCTACTGAAATACAAAACCAATTAGGACTACTTGAAGGCTTTTCAAACTCAAATTTCAAAATGCTTATATGCAAAGCAAACAATTTCCATATAACGCCATATAAGATTTAGGACTGTCAACTTCAAGCTTAGCACCTGTTACTGAGAACCCGATGGAGATTTTCTGTCACTAAGTGGAGGTTTTAGTGGAGATATTATTCCCCAGTTCTTGGAAAATTACCTTTGCAGATGTTTCTAAACTTACTATGCTAAGAAGTGTTTTCAACCACAATATAAAAAAATTAATATAAAACTTTAATCCAAACTTAGATTTCATTCAAGAGATTAAGTGTTACTGTATGGCTTTTGAAAGACTATGCTTCAAGTCCATGAAAAGATATCTTTGTAATCTGTTCAGCTAAAGAACATTAGCATATGGCTTATCACTCATGTTAGTATTATTAGCTGTACAGTTTTGTGCTACATAAAAATTCAACACAAGAAAAGTTGTATAATTCCATAGCGGAACTCAATCAAATTGTTAAAGTGTTCTGTTCAGTGCTTCATACTTATCCCAGATGAACTGAAGAAGTCATGTTTCACAGTAAGGATGACAAAAAAAGAATCCTTAAGAGCACATACCAGAACATCAGTTCAAGATGGACATGCAGTACTGCCAAATTGTTTCACATCTACAAAGTCACTTTCTCAAACTCTTTAGTAGGTGAAGTATCACCAGCATTGTTTCTAACAAACCACAGGATATTCTGCTCAGTAACACTAACTTAGCATTCTCCCTGTGAACTTTGCTCCAGTAAACCAGCATCTTGGGTTGGTTGTTGGTTTGGGTTTTTTTTTTTCCCCACCTCGTATCTTGCATAAATATTTGCACCTATAAGAAGCATCTAACAGTGCTAAGAGCTTAGTGGAATTTTCCATCTACCTAGAAAAGTATAAAAGGCAGAAGAAAATCATATTCCTAGACTGTGGTTACAGGCTGGGGAAAAAAAAAATTTGATAAAGTCAACGAGACACATCGTGATGACTTACAACCAAGCATGAGTCAGAGATTAGCAATGCTTGATCAGCAAAGCGGCATTACTTTTAGAAGTGAATAATAAAAACACAGGAAAATTAACCAAACCTCAGGCCACAAAGCTTAAACCCACTGATCACAATCTTAAGCTCCCCACTTTGAAGATATAAGAAAAGTATTTAGAGGTTAACTAGAGCAGAGTGGTTTTATTGCTTAGAATGCCTATATAGCCATCTTAATGGTATTTATTTAATTATCATGTAAGTAAAATTTTAGGAATACACCACCACTGGCAATAAATCAAAAGGAAAAAAGAAAAACCTTTTGGAAGAACATTCCAGACCTGGGGTTTGGGTTTTAAAGTATCTTTATAAATGAGGTGAGGCTACCTTTGTGATTAAAAAGAAAAAAAAAAAAGAAAAAAAGAAAAAAACCCAGTAAGTTCTTGCTAGATAAGCAGACATTGACATTCCTCCTTGTTTATCATAGCCTTCCTGTAGAAGGTTCCCTTGACAGATGGAAAAAGGATCATGGAAACTATGTTAACTCACTCAGCTGTTCATTATGCTAGCCAGTACTATCTTAACTTTCTTCCACTCCTTTTCTGTAACCACTCATTTTCCTGACACAAATAAACTATCACCTAAAACAAATACATACTATCATTTCTATTGGAAAGAAAACTGAGGGAAGTTTTTTCATGTAGCAAGAACAGATCAAACAAGCATAAGCAGGAAAAAAATGTGATCTTGCTTACCTGGGGGCAGGGGGAAGGAGAAAACACCCAAGTGATACCATGATGTTATGACCTCTCCTCTCCAACTAGTTAGGAGGGTGCCCGGCATTTACTATCATTCAGTATTTGCTAGAATTCTTGGATAGGCAGCCATTCTATCAGATACACTAACAACACTGAGTTTTACCTTTCCTAGGGTACTTTATGCTTATGGAGAACAATTCGATTAAGTACTATAGGGTAAAGTAGCTATATACA